CCCTCCTCCACCCCACCCCCCCATCTTCATTCTCTTACTCTTCTGCCTTTCATTTCGAAACGCAGCATCCTGTTCTATTACCTTCAGCTGTGACATTTACTCACTCTTTTATGATGAATTCATAAAATCACGACAATGATAGCACACTGAGAGTGCTTTATGGAAACTCATTATAGAGTATCAGTCTCTGCCTGTCTGTCTCACTCCCACACACACACACACACACACACACACACACACATGCAGAGAGACACATACACCCTGTCTGCCTTTCCACTGAACATAAAAACAACAGAAGCAGCACACTGATGTGAAAAGTTTGGCTGTGAGCTCTCTGTGGTGTGTTCTGATAAGGCTATCGACGCTTGGCTGGATGATACACTTGGTGAAGCTGCAGTCTTTCTCCCTCTGAAATCTGTGAAAGGATTTCAGACTGTCTCTTTGCCACATTAGGCTGAATGTTATTTGCAAAAGGAGAACAAAATAGCCTGTGATGACACAGACTTTCAAAGTAATATTCTGGATGTTTTATTCTTTAAAGATCCCATGTCATGGCCATTTCTACTGATCATAATTCCATTGTTGAGGTCTATTACAATATATTTACATTGTGTAATTTTCCAAACTCACATTGGTTTCTCATACAGCATCTCTGTATAGTATGTGTATTCACTCTCTGTCCTAAACGGCTTGTTGGAGCTCCTGATCCCCCCTCCCTATGAGCCCACTGTGCTCTGATTGGTCAGCTCGCCCACTCTGTTCTGATGAGTCCACCAGCGGAACATCAGTGATTAAGTGTTACAATCATACTTGCAAACCTTGAGACCTCAGGAATCGGGAGCATTTCCAAACCACCGCGGGGGGGGCGTCGGTTGGTGCTAGTGGATCGCAGGAGCTGTAGATTAACATTAATATGCTTATTGTTAGTTGTAAGTGCAATGACTTGCGGCCTGCAGCACCGTCCTTGATGGAGCACATGTGTGGGCTGGACCTGCATTTTACAGGAAAGGAGTGAGCAGAGGGTCGAGTTGTCGATTTTTGTTCAGTTTTCTGTGACTGTCTGCCTCACCATCTCAGACTTTCAGTTGAGCGCGCTACTAAAGAGACGTGCTACCATGGAATCCAAACAATGGTGTATCTGTTGGCAAGTCCGAGTGGAAACAGTGGTGAGTAAATTTGATTTGGTCAGAAATCGAGAGAAATGTGGGAGAAATATGACCCCGGGAGGAAACCGGGAGAGGGCAGTGAAATCGGGAGACTCCCGCGAAAATCGGGAGGGTTGACAAGTATGGTGAATACACATACTATACAGAGATGCTGTATGAGAAACCAATGTGAGTTTGGAACATTGCACAATATAAATCTATTTTAGTATACCTCAACAATGGAATTATGATCAGTAGAAATGGCCATGACATGGGACCTTTAAGGTGTTAATCAGGGTTTCTGATATCTGGCAATTCATTTTTCTTCACAGGGAAAATCTGTTGAGGTTAGGAATGTCATAATGTACTCTTTGGCTACATTGAGGACATTATGGATGTGGTCCGTTAGCATAGCAAAGAATGAGTATGATCTTATTACTGCTGACACCTGCAGTTGTATACAGTGTAGAGTTGTTTTGGAATTTATGGGGATTGTTGCTTTACTTATTAGAGGGTAAACAGAGTTGTACGTCTGTGTACTTTAGTAGTAGCAGACTTTGTGAGGGAGAAAGTTACTAAGCTACTGCCAGGTAGTTCTGGCCAAATAAATGCAGATAGAAATTCTCAAAGAAGCGTGCCAAGGAGGATTTCATTTTACCTATAGTCTGCCTATCAATTGTTTTCATGTCAAAATAAAGCATAATATTAAATGGGACAATATTTTAATAAATTTATTCTAGTACACGTAATAACCCTGGGGGAAATATATCAGCATTTGCCTCACAGATAATCCAACCATTTGTTTTTTTCCACCCTAATCAGTCAACCCTCCTGATCCTGATGCTCATCATCATGAATCCCCATCCCCATAAGCAGTGTCGTACCAGAGCTGCGTTGGGGGCGTCGTACGGGGGCTGCCACTTCAGCGTGGCCTGAGTTCTGTCCACTCGCACACGATGGAGGTTTCTGGGTGGCAGCCGCTCATTGGGAATCATTTTCACCACAGCGTATTCCGAGGGAGGGCCCAGGTAGGGAGAGACGGCACGCACCTGAAGGACAACACAAACAGCACTGTAAAGATGTCCTCATTATTACACTAGGACTGATGCAACAAAATAAAACAATGGCAGCCTGATAGAATACTACACTGACTGTCTATGGAAGGCAAATGCATCTATGTTTGCCATACGTGAATACAGTATATTACAACTATCATGCTAGACTTTAATGGTGTACTAATCTGCCCCGAGATCCCACATAAAAGTCATTATTACATTTTCTTAAATACTACATTACATTTTCCAATGTCCCCTACAAGCTGCTAGCTTTACCGCTCTCGGTTTTAGAAACTCATTTTAAAAGTTTCGTTGTCTGTTACTTGCGTCACCTAATACCCAACCCTATCTTCAAGAGAGACCGTGCTTATTGAGTTTCACTTTTAAAAAAAATTATTTAGTCACTTAAGTGATGACAAAGCTGTGGATGAAATCACTGTTCCCATTTGAACTTGAAATCAAAAAAATCTTACTCTAAATAGTTTCCATTTCTGTTGTGACTCTCCTTTTTCTAGATGTAAAGATTGAGGAACATTTAGCACTTTCTCTACATGTTATCTTCCCACAGACATTTCTGATGAAACAAATTTGGCTTAAAGGTTTCACAAACTTTTCAGTGTGAAAGATGTCTCTGAGAGGAAGTTGGTGGGATGTTGAGAAGACTCACCAGGAAGAGATACTGTTCGTCGCTGTCCACCGTCACTGTGAGGCTGAGAGACGTGGAGTGGAACTGACGCGGGCTGCGGTACAGGTCCAGGAAGGAGGTGGCGTAAAACACACCGTACACCTACAGACACACAGCAGAAATAAGTGTTGACTCAGTGAAGTTGTTCAGAGGAAATTTAAAACAATATCCTCCTGATATGTTTTTTATGACATCAAGACGTATTGACGGTAATGTGTAGTACCTGAGCGGTGGTATTGCCGATGGTCCAGCTACAGTCCACAGCAGTCTGGTTGAGGGCCCGGGCTTTGAGGAGGGGCCGCTCCGGCTGAGAGCCAATGGTCTGATGATGGGACAGGGCGGTGGGACTGTCTCCTATACTGGTGTGAGCCCAAACAGCCACCTCATACAATGTGCCTGCTGTTAGGTTAGAAGCTGCGAACAGACACAACAACGTGTACGTGAATCATCTGTGGAAGTGTAATTGATTTACAAAAATAATCTAACACAAACGGTACCTTTCAGGATCCCCTGTTGAACCGTGTAGTTTCTGCTCTCCTTAACATGTGTGTCAAACTGCCAGTACAGAATCACTATGTACTGCTTCACCTTTAAAAAGAAGAATAAGAAGAGCCCTCTCAGTCAGGTTTATACAGACAGAAAAAAACAAGCTTTTAAGGAGACAATCTGAAGAGGAGCTCTCACCTCGTACGGGGAGTTGAAGCTGAATGAAAGGCTCATGGAGTCGTTGGTGATGCTGTCGGCGATCACAGAGGGGGGGGGCAGAGCTGCAGCACACAGAGAGCAGGGAGATAAGGACTTTATGTAATTTGTGGGCTGTTTATTTGAACAGTTTAATATTGTTAAATTCAGCAGGGCTGCCAACACTCACGCATTGAGCGTGAGAGTCACGCAATTAACCCATATCTCACACACTCACGCCACACTTGCCTTTTCTCACTCTAAGTTTTCGTCCAAAATAAATTTATATAAATATAAAAATAAAGTGAAGGAACAGCAAACCGAGCGGTCTACGAAATGAGTCTTCTGGCTTAGTTCAGTAAAGTTGGAACGATATTGGGAGATTCTGATTTCACGGATCAATAACTCATGAACAAAACGTTATTCAGACACAAATGACCTCTCCTAAGTACCGTGGTAAGGTTGACAACGAACTACAATCACATTTTGATTAAAAAAAAGCCAATACGCGCCATCCTGCGAGATGGGCACATTACATTGGTCTCTATCCGCAGCCGGAGAAGAAACCAATGCTCTGATCAGGGACCGTCTGCAAAGTGCAACTCCGAAAAAAGAGAATACAATAATATTCAATCACTATTATACAGCTTATTACTACCAAAATCACCACACACATCAATATATCTCCTGGTGGTCGTACTACAGCAGAGAGTTTGGAAGNGATGGGCCGGTACTGAAGTGGGCCCGTTGGACGATATGGGCCGGTCGGATCACTAGCTCCGTCCGTCCGTTCACAATGTACTAGCGGTACCGAAGTGGGCCGGTCTAGAGTACCGGGCAGAATGTTAGTCCCAGTCCGCCCCTGCACACACACACACACGCACACACACACACACACACACACTCACACACACACACACACACACACACACACACACACACACACACACACACACACACACACTCAAACTCCACCCCTCAAAGACAATGAATCTTATCTCGTTGCAGTGTCATCGCTACTACCTCTGCTTTCACCACTCTTATTTATTGATTTATTGTGTCTATGTTTTACTGCAGTGAGAGTTGCCAAGGACATGATGACAATAAAGATATATTCTATATTGGATCCAGGCTAGCAGTTTCCCCCTGTTTCCAGTCTGTATGCTAAGCTAAGCTAAATAAGATTAGAGGTACTTTATTGATCCCAAATTGAGAGATGTTTGCATTGCAGCTGCATCAAAAACAACAAAACAAAACAAGGCATTGCGCATACATTAAGTAGAACAAATAAACAATACTAGAATTTAAACTTCTCAAAATAGAATTAAGGCAGTATTAAAAAGTAGAACATAAACAGTAGACCGGATATTATTAACATTAAGAGAGCAGGCAATGGAATATTACATTAAAAATAAATGTAAGATGTACAGTGTGTCCAGAGAGAAGCTATGGAGCAGGTGGCGGCTCTAGCTCCATCTTTAATGTCCAAATAACTTTCAAAATAATCAGTTTGAGACTCGTTTGATCCAATCATGAGAGCGTTGTTAAGTTTCAAATTCAACATTCACTATAAAAAGATAGATTTTTTTTTGTCATAGTTATTAATGTTAGTAATAATCTTTTTTGTGATTTTATCTAACCACCTTATATTCATAGCAGCAGTCTAACAGAAAATACTACATTTATTAAACAACAATTGCAGTAAATATATATTTATTTTGTGAAATAGCCTCATAAAACATGACGAGACATTACATGTTACTTGTTATGCTTTTATCCAAAGAGACTCACATATTATATTATTATTATTATATTATATATTATCATACTTACATACTCAATACTGTGGACAATCCCCACAGGGGCACTTTGGGGTGAAGTGTCTTGCCCAGGGACACAACAACATGCTGACTGCAGTGGGGTTTGAGCCAACGCTCTATCCACTGTGACACAAAATCAGAGGCATGTTGGACGGTTGGAGGGTAAACTGTTAACCAAAAGACATGACGGAGAGCTAAAATATGAAATGCACAGAAATCACGCCTTCGGTCAGACTGTATCGCTTTTCTATATTTGCAATTCATAGTTTTTCAGTAGTTTTTTTTTGCTCTGTTTTCGTTGCTAACATATGAAACCTTTCTGCTGACTACTGATACATTTGCATGTACAAGTATTCAGATGTATAGGGGGAACCATTTTAAGACAATATGTACCTGTGTTTGTGTGAAATTGAATGTCAAGAAGGAGAAGAAATTAGGGCTGCACGATTTTGGGAAAAAAATCGAATTGCGATTTTTCTGACAAATATTGCGATTCGATTTGCGATATTGGTTTTTAAGCGACCCAACGGAAGTTTATTGTAAAATGCGGCCATATCTCAGGCTAGGAAGGTTGCATCAACATGCTCCCGTCTCTAGCCCGATCTACGAGTGAAAGAACTAAACTTACATGAAACTTCCGTTGGGTTGCTTTAAAGTCAAGCGTCTGTGTGTGAGCACACACAGACTCACAGCCAGGCTGCAGGTGTGTGTGTGTGCTCGGGCTGGTTTCGGGCTGGGTTTCGCTGTGTCTTGCTGTCTCGCCGAGCCCAAGCAGCAACCAGGAAACCACACCAGTAAGCCAGCTCACACTGTCCGCTCCTCGCAGCAGCGAGCCGCGCAACGTCCCGCCAACACAGCACCCAGACCCCACGCAGCATTCTCATCTGTTTGTCATTTCTGGTGTCAATATAATTTGTCTTTTCTTTACATACATTGACCAAGAAGGTACTGTATACATAATGAACTAGAAGCAGAATTTCCTGACTTTTTTTTGCAGTTATTAGTTCAGTGTACTTAAATTAGATCTTCCAATTTTTCCAAGGTTCTGTAAACAACAGAGATGATCATGTCATCATCCCGTCACAATTATTTTTAACTGTTGAAGATCCTCTTGTGTTGAGTCCAAGCTCCACAGATGTGTCACACAACAGGTCTCAAGGGCCTAACGACAACCTAAATCTATTATACTAATACTATTTTACTATATATATATTTTTTGTATGTCTTGTAAACTGCACTGTTGAGGAACATACGTTTTTCGTACATTCCATAATTACACCGTAGTTTTGTATATGTTTTGTCAATAAACCTTTGAATCTTGAATATTACTAAATTTTTAAGGGTTTTGTAAAGGCTAAATATACCCGTAAAAAATATCTGACCCTGTTCTTTGATTTTATGGTGGTTGACAGCATATGTTCTCCTTTGATTGGCTTTAATTTCCATATTAATATAGTTGTTGAGTTATTTTTGTCTGCATAGTGAACTGATATTTTAGCCACGCTAAAGCCACAGATTAATTGGCATGGAAACATGGTAGCAGAGTTTTTTCTTTGATACACAATATGCTCTTAATGAAAAGCCATGGCCTTAAAAACAGCAACAGATGAAAAGCTTAACTCATCAAGAGGAAACAACAGCTCTCTCGTCTGGAAAGCGTTTGTGCTGTGGTTGCGTTTCAGGTCAACGTGCTTTCATCTCAATCAAGAAATAAAACGGGAACACCTGTCCCACACTGGACTATGCTAATGGGAACACCTGGAGCTGAAATGTCACCTCAGTCATGTTGTTGCTTTGCAAGCAGCTTATTGCTCAGTTGACCATCCAGTGTGAAGCAGACGATGCTGCTCAGTGTTGACTGTGTTTGTGAGTATAGTGTGTGTTTGTTTACGCGTGTGGAAATGGGCTTGATGTGACCATTTTTGTGAGGCAAATGTTATCTCTTGATAAAGATTAATTTTCTGTTCTCATTCCTCCACTTTTCTACTTGGTGTCCTTTCATTAAAACATGACTCTTTCATCCTATGTTTGCTCTTGACCTTATTGTCTGGTAATTGCTTTTACAACAAAAAATGGAGACCAGTTGCTATGGAGACGATAAATAAGCCATGTAGTGAATAATATATATGTGCACAGCAATTCTGTGCTCCACTGACCCCAAAAGTCTGCAAATAAATAGATAAATAAATAAGAACACAAATACTTTACTGCCAATTAGACCATGGCTTCCACGTTAAAGTGCCGCTGTGTTCATGTCTTAACAACAATAACGGATCTTGAAATGAAGCCAATAGATTAACTCTTGTTATCGGTTTCTCTGGAGTTACTACTGAGTGCTCGATAGTCTGCATGAAAACCTTTATGAGGTTAAAACGATAAATCTGCTTTTCTTTCTTTGGCTCTTGTATCTAGAAAATCCAACATAACATTTTATTTTTAAGAGGCGCTCTTCTGCATTTTCCCACCCTATATGTATGAGCTATCCTTGCATCAAGATGATCCTGTTTGTAAACTGCAGTCAACAAAGCAGAAGGAAAAAAACAAATATATCTTTATAAAATCAAAGTTATTTAATGCAACATTTGATTTAATAAATCTTTTAGAATAAGCCTAACTTGTGATAATTAGTGTTTTAGGAAATAAGAAGCTACTTAATACAGTCTTTTTTTGCTATGGGTGTACTATACTGGCAACTGATTGGATTTTATGTTAAGGTAGAGCTGTAATGCTCATTTTCAGGTTCATATTTGTATTTTGTGCCTCTAATGGGACATGTTTACATGCTTTAATGTTAAAAAGCTCTTTATTTTTCTCATACTGCCTGTGCTGCAGCACCTCTTTTCACCCACTGTCTGAAACCAGAGCCCAGTCTCGTCTGATTGGTCAGCTGGCTGGCTCTGTTGGGGATTGGTCAACCGCTTAGAGATGTCCCACCCCTTAGCCTATCATGTACAACGTGTTGGAGCGCTAGCCAATAGAAGCACAAGTGTTTCATAGCGATGTCACTGTTACATAAGTGAACAAAGGAGTCCAATAGGCGTTTCAGGGAGGGAGGGGACTGTGTGGGAGAGAAACTCCCTCTGGGGGGGGGATTTTAGCCGTTGCAGTACATGCACACAAACCTTTCTAACAAACTATAGGAGAGGGAAACCTTCATAAAGCATAAAAGGGCCTCTTTTAATAAAATGAATGTTTTTAACAACCTTCAGTCCTGTGTCCTTGTATGGTATATTTCAAATGCTTTTTACATAACCTTTTGAGTATTTTAATTTAAAAATGTCCTTTCTTTTTATCTTCCTAACACTGAACTTTTTTCAGACAGGTGAGATGTTCAACAGACCTTGATTATCAGCTAGAGCAGGCTGGGGAACCTT